AAATTCAGAATTGAGAGAGTTTTGAGAGGCTAGTGGCAGCCCTTTTTTGGGCATTATTGAAGGTCAAGATTGAGGTTCCATCAATGATAGAAGATCAAGGAATTCGATTTCCTCAAATTGAGTTTTGTTTTTCCTTGGATTTTTATCTATTATTTGATATTTGAATGTTCATAACTTTGATTTTATATTTTATTAATTTTATTATGAACTGATTTATTCTAGTAGGGCTATAATGTAGCCTAATCAATTCAATATGGATTTAGTGATTTTATACTTTCAATTAAAGTTATTTGCATGAGGAGTTTATATTATTGAACTTAATGCATTGGAATTCTGATCACCTTTCAATTGATTTAGTGATTTATGCATGAACTTGAAAAAGAATTGCGTAGATTAGACCAATAATAATATAAACCGTGTGCTAGACTATGAGACCGAGAGGTAATTAGCTCACATATGGTAGTGGAGGAAGAGAAGAGAGTTAGGAGCTCCCCCTTCTTAAGCTAGAGGTTTCCATAGAATTTAATACTCATAAGTTTGTTTAAAATTATATAGAGATATGATTAATTTAACAAATAAGTGAATGATTAATTTGACTTGAGAAAACTAGTTAATTAATATAGAGAAATCCGCCATCACATGCAATAACACTCAACAATTTGGTAATCCAGAATTTATATTGATTGATTATGATGAAATCAATGCCTTAGTACCTCATATCTTGATTACCTTAGTACCTCATATCTTGATTACCTTAGTACCTCATATCTTGATTAGGTTTAATTTAATTGTTATTTTCCTTTTATTATTTTTTTAGTTAAACTTTCTTCCCATTTGGTTGTTCAAATAAATTTAGATTGATTATTTTGGTACTTAATTAGACACAATCCTCGTGGGTTCGACACTCTTCTCATCATTATATTACTCGGAACGACTAGTACACTTGTTAGGGTGATTTTAATGCATCATTATCCAGATTTCTTTAAACTGAAGTCTGAAGACTTTCAATTTAAGGGAGGGATTGTTGGAAATTAGATCCTATTATTTAGTCATTATCTCTATAATTTAGGAAATTTAAGTTATTTATTTGTTTTATATTGTTATAATTTAAAATAGATTAGATAAGTTTATTATTTTTTAATGAATTATTACACTTAAAATTATAATTATCAAAACAATAAATTAATATTTTTTAGTTTACAGACAAAAGCTGGTTAGGTTCTAGTTAGACGTATGGGTGGGCGAGGATTCATTAGCTAATGTTTTTCCAAGACTGTTTTTGTTGGATACAAACAAAAATTGCAACATTTATGATCGAGGTCATTGGTCTGATGGATGCTGGTGTTGGAGGTTCCAATAGAGAAGACCATTAAGAGCATGGGAGGAGGAAAAACTACAACAATTGATTGTGACCATAAATCACAAAAAACCAGTGCAGGACGTGAAAGGCACTTGGAGATGGAGGCCTGATAACAAAGGAAAATACACCACAAGGTAAGCTTACGAGCAGTTTGCAAAGAAAGAGGAAATTACACTGTTGGAGTACAAAAACATATGGAGTGCGCAAGTCCCATCAAAAGTGAGTGCTTTTTCATGGCAAATGCTTCTAGATAGATTTCCTATAAAGGTCAACTTGGCAAAGCGAGGCATTCTGGATGTCAACCAAGGTACAAAATGTTTTTTGGTGTGATCAGTTCCCTAAACATATAAGTCATCTTTTTGTGTCATGCAATATCTCATTCAAATTATTCCCTAAACTGGTGGGGATTATATTATGTTCTCGGGAATACTTGTCTTGATGTTTTCAACCAGCACAGATGGCATAAGGGCTCAAAAATTCTAAAAAAAGGCTGGAACATGTTATGGTTTACCATA